GAGAGCGACAGAGAGCGCGCTCAAAAAAGAGAGCCAGTCACAGAGAGACTGAGAGAGAAAGAGAGAGTGTATATATGTGTGTGTGTGTGTGTAACTCTCTCTCTCTCTCTCTCGCTGCGTTTTGTTGACATTCTGCCGCTACAATTATTGTGCTTCTGGCGTATGTGTTTCTGCTGCCAACTTTAGTTTCGCATTCTTTTTACAACAACGCCGACATCATTTAGCATATTTAGCAAAGTAAAGAAAATGAACAAAGAAAGAACAACAATCAGAATTAAACTGATATTATAAGAGAGTTATATTCACAGACAGTTAAGTGACACAATTTCCAAATTCTGTGTGCCCGTTTCGCATTCGGTATTTTGTGGCGACTGTTTGGCCAAAAACTTCCTTCTCCACGTGCACTTTTCTGTGCGTGTTCGTGTGTGTGTGCATGTGTGTGTGTGTGTGTGTAGCCCAGCCCGGCTTTATTGATTTTTCGCATATCCTTTTGTGGCCGTGCATGCGCACACATATATATACATATATACATATATATATATATATACTCCAATGTACTCTCCCCAGTGCACTGACCTTAGCCATAGACACAATTCGGTTATTAATCGCATACCGTTTTTTTTTCTCTCTTCTTCTTCTTCTGTGTTTCCCCTACAAATTAACAGCATTCACAATACGACGACAGGGCGCTAAAAACAACAAAACAAGCCAATTTTTGATATACTATATGAGTGTTTTTATTGTATTGCCCCACAATGTGGGCCATTCATAAAAAAAACCGCTGCTTTCAGTTGGGGGAATCAACAAAAAAATAAATAAATAAATAAATAAGCAAACAAACAAATAAACAAACGTTCGCATGTGCTGTATGCATAGGGAAGTATGTCTGTCTCTCTCGCTGTCTGTCTGCCTCTCTGTCTCGCTGTCTGTCTGTCTCTTTGTCTCGCTGTCTGTCTGCCTGTCTGTCTGAATGTACATTTGATTTGGGTCTTTGGAAAGTGGCTGCTCAAGTGTGGTAATATGTGGGTTATCAAACAGTCTCACGCTTATTAGAGCCCATCCAAAATACATATATTCTTCTGCTTCTTCTTCATTTTTATATTTGTTTGTTGTTGTGTTTTGGGTAAAAGGGCTGCCCCATTTAATCGGCAAGCTATTGGTAATGCATTAGGTCTGACCCACTGAGCACATTTCCGTAATCATAATGGATATGTGTGACTTTAGCTCACATACAAACAAATGCATCGATTTTGAAATACTCTTCCTTATCTCGAGCTCGTAAAAATGCTTTAAAAACGTGAACATTTCTCTGGAAAATTCAAAAATACAAATTTTCATAGAACATAAAAACTAGAATTTTTATTTGCATTATTTTTCCTTAATTACAATCTGTCAGTGAGCATTTTTATAGATATCACAGAATTAATGTTACTCTATTTAAAACCAATAGCAGCAGCTTTATATATATTTGGCATATTGTTCTTATCATATCATATTTAACTTTTATATAATAGAACTGTCCATCAAGTACACTCTTCATTTTCACAATCATTAACACCTTGAATCTAATGAATGGGTCTGAAGTGTATTGAATCATTCAAACACACACAGCAAATATTTATTTCTGATTCACCCACAGAATAATAGCAACTTAAAGTCATATCTCACTCAGTCAATTCACTCGATTGAGTTCCCAATTAGATGATTTTTATTGGCACTTGAGACACTTGCTTTAACACACTTTCACATGCTGTCAGCAGAGTTGCCACCCACTCAAACACACACACACACATACGCACACACATTTGTAGCTTAAAGCTGAGCTGCTCTATAAAAATTGTCATTTATTTTTTAAAGAATTGAATGGGAAATCGGCTTAGGCACACTTGGCCTACTGTCGTCAAGTATCTGCTGGCCGCTTCCGCTGTCTATAATATATATGTATGTTACCTGCCAAAAAGATAACATAACATGCATGTTGACTATTTTTTATTATTTTATTTTTTTTATCAATACTGAAGACTTACAAAAAGGTCGCTTATTGTTATTTATGTGCAAGCAGAATCAAGCTTATCTCAGCTAGCGGCCAATGGCCATAAAAAACTCGTCACGGCTTACTTCAATGTGTGGGTGTGTGTGGAAGTGCTTTCTATTTATGGGTCATACACACACACACAGACACAAATGTGTTTATGTCTTTTCCGTTATGTTTCTGCACTTGACAGGGCAAACAGTGGGCAATTTTTCAATTACATTTGCAATCGCAATCGTGGCACATGTCACAAAACACACTCACAGAGGCTGACTAATCAAAATATATATATACACTATATGCTTCAAATTGGCCCTTGCAGCTGACCCCATCGTGTTTGTGAAATATTTCTTTATATGTATTTAAATATATATATACAAACACATTTGTATATGATTCGCACAAACAGCCAACAATTGTCGTTTGATTGACCAATTTTCCTAGCTCTGCTCGTCAATTCATTTTCCATATCGGTTTTGTCGCCCAACTTGGATATATACACATTTATCTGTTTCTCTCGCTCTCCCTCTCTCTCTCTCTCTCTCTCTCTCTCTCTTGTCTTGCGTTCTCGTTCTGTCTAACTGTCGGTCATAGTTTTTCCATTCCAACACTTCTTTTTCGCTTTATCATGATTAGAGTTACGACCAAGCAGCTAATGCGTTTGGCAGGTTACCTTTCTGAAATTGCTCAGGTTACGTTTTTCACAGACCTCCAACGGGTATTCTAGTTTTGTGGAGAAGCATATAATGCTTAGATGAAGATATTTCGATTATAAAGTGTCAAGCTCGGCTAACATTGAAAAATTCTTTGCCAAAGTGCTGGATACGACCTTGGATGTTTTATATTTATACAAAGAAGCACCTGCAAATATTCCAGTTTCAAATTCCGAAAGTTATACTTGCTCCTATCTTTTTCCATACTCCGAATACATTGAAAAAAAGGTATACTAATTTTGAGCACAAGTATGTAACAAACAGAAGAAGATGCATCTTCGACCCCATCAAGTATATATTTGGGAATAAAACTAGAATATATTTATATATGTTGAAGAATGGAAGTAACTGTTAGTGATTACTTAATGATACGTGTGCTCTTATCAAAGACATATTTATTCAGAGCAAGATATGCAAATATTTATTGACTAAAACAAATACAAATATTTCAGAGTGATGTTATTCCTTCTCCAAGTGTGTGCCAACTTCGGCGTGTCAATGAAAAACCCAACTCTTCTGTGTGTGTTTTCTTTTTTTGCATGCCACTGCAGTTTGATGAGCTGCTAATTAGCACCGGCTGTGCAACACACACACACACACACACACAGACACACACATGCACACTTTAGCCCAAGTAGCTGGCTCCAAGCACATGGTAAATGGCGTGCCGAGGCAGTTCTCAATGAATCAGCACGAGCGCAATGTAATTTGCACTTTGTACAGCTCTCCCTTCCTACACTGCCTCTCTCTTTCTCTTTCTCTCACACACTCTCACTGTCACTCTCTCTCTCTCTCTCTCTCTCACTCTGTCTCGCCCTCACTATGTATAAATATGTGTAGTTCTGAGTTGCACTGCAGTTAGTTTATAGAGGTGGAGCATTTTAGTTGTAGCAGTTGGTATGCGTGATTGACAGTTGTTAAGTTGGGCTAGCTTAGTTGCCTGGGTAATTAACTAGCTGGATTGGCAGCTGGATGGACAGCCAACAGGATTTTACTTTTGACCTGCCGAATTGCTGAAAGCATCTGCTTTGTGTGCTCGCCATGTGGAATATTAAATGATCATAACCAACGTTGACCAGTCTAAAGTTGCCTTTAATAGGCCTTCACGTAGATATTTTTATGGTCAATCAATCAGACACTAAATCAATCAATACAAATCGCTTTCTGTATTCAGTTGTGGCTTTACTTTTCCAAAGTTTAATTCACTAAATTATGAATCTAGGTGGGAGTTTTTATATATATATTATGAATACAGCAGAAACTTTGCAAAAAACCCAGAACAAATTTACTTAATTTAAAATTGTATGCTACTTAAAGCCATCATTTACAAAACTAATTGTTTAATCTGATTTAAAGTGGGAAAGTAAATATATTATAAGACTTTTATGTTAGCTTCTTCATCGTCTTTATTTATGTCTTGGGAATATATACTTTTAGTATTTTCCAACTCAAAGTCTGTAAAAGTCTTCTTTCTCCTCGTCTTAAGATTGTAGCGCATTCAGCTGTCGCCTAAAGCCGACTGCTCATAGAATCAGTGAGCTTTGCTTGTAATTTTTGTGATGAGGCGTGGAGTAGTCTGCAACGAGTGCCTCCAGCTGTTGCACACATGTCAACGCTGAAGATGTTGAGCTCGTCAATTTATTGCAAGTGCCTCAAATATATATATATATATATGTATTTTTTTTTATACTGGCACATTTTATCATATTTATTTGTATGGTTGCCACATGAGGCGAGTAATGTATTTTTATGCGGCTGCAACGGCTGCAAAGTCACGCCCCTATGTTTTTTTTGAAGACTGAACCATGTTGAACTCTGCCAAAGAAGTGTACAAAAGAAAGCGCAAGAAAACAAAGAGCGGCCAAAATATAAAAAAAAAAAAACGCTAAAACAATGGCAAAAAAGATCGAAAAAATGCAATAAATTATTATAAAGAGTGACAGCTGCGAGTGGATTATGTTTTATTTTTGGAGATGATTTTCTGTTTTGATAAACAGACAAACACAAAAAGGGTTTTACACGACGACAAGCGTTAAACTAAAAAATGACAATGATCAAGGGAAATCAGCAACAACAACAATAAAAACAATAACAACAATATTAAGCCAGTTTTTATATTTATTTATGCAGTGTCAAAATGGAAATCATTTAAGCAAATAAAAAACTTTAGCCATTAATAATAAATCAAAACAAATACGAACTAAACTAAAACAACAAACTTCGCACAAAATGTTGTAAGCAACAAAAGAAAAACAAAAACATATAATTAATAACAATAACTAAACGCTTTGAGTTCCAAGCTCGCACAGTGGAACAAAAGCGCACAACAACGCACAAAAAGTGATTGAAACGTTTTACGAGAGAAAGGGGAATTTAGAATAGCTAGCTAGAATGCCACGCCCACTGATGTTGCCCCTCGCACTGCGCGCCCTGCTGCAGCTGTTGCTCTTCAGCAGCATTGTGCAGCAGCATTGCTGCACAGCGTTGCCGAGCCTTGCTCCGCCAGCAGCAGCATTTGGTGGCAACAATGGCAGCAGCAGCAGCAGGACCACCACCAGCACCAGCATAACAACAACGATTAGCACCACAGCTGAGCTGCTGGCCAGCACAACGGAGCGGAATATGCTGGAACTAGTCAATGCGGAGGCAGCTGAGGCAGCTGAGGCATCAGCTGATTCCGGCTGGGAAACACATGAGACTGAATTTAAGTTAGCCACGCACATGCCCACCGGATCCGGATCTGGAACACAGTCTGCACCCACACCACCCACATCCATCGAGCAACAGGATCAGCCAGCTGCAATTCCCGCCACAACATTGGCCTTTGCCAATGCCGTTGCCGTTGCCGGCGATACAATGGACACAACGGGCGAAGCCACGCCCCCCTATGCCGCTGTCGATGATGATTATGGTAAATAGTTGCAAATATCTCTCTTACAATTATCATTCAACTCAACTCAACTCGAGCTGCATTGTATGACTCACTTGACCCCAGTTGACAGCCGATTACATTTGCATTTGCTTATGTCCGTCCAGCAGTTGACTCATTCCATTATTCTAGCAGTGCATTATTATTGCGGACAGCGCTAATCGCATGTAATGAGATAATCAAATAGCAAACAAACTGTACCCAACAAAATGCTAATCAACTAATTCGTCACACAAGTGCAACAAAGTCTTATTGCTTTACATTTACGTAACAAATATATTACACTCATTTCTTACACAGTTTTGTTCTCTGAATGGACAGAGAAACGAAATACATTCATTGTATATATTATAATATATAAATATTTATAATAATTTCATAAACAACAGCGTTGTTTGAATGCACAGATTAATTAATCACATATATATTACATATATTTAACCCATAAGCTCAGATCTACATTGGTAAATCATAAATGTTTCCTATAATATTCTGAATAAATTAGTAATTAAACCTTAAATTAAGATTTGCTTAAAGACTATGCTGAAAATGAGTAGTAGAAAACAAGCTTAATTGATAATTGTATGTGGAACAACAACTAATTAAGTTAACTTTATAAATCTCGCAAGGTGGGTTAGTTAACAACTCATTTTGTTTTTAGACAGTTCGCACTTAAAAAATGATAATTGCCGAGTTTCTCTTGACAGATTTATGAGGCTAACTTAATTAGTTGCAAATTTAATAAGTTTTGATTATACAGTTTTTCTTAAATTATATTTATTGATATATAATTATTCATAGATTAAACATATTGCTTATTATCAACATACAACCAATTTTTTTAGATTGTCAAAAACACAATAAATATTTAAAAAACAAACTTTTGTGTTGAATACCCCAAATATTTGATAGTTTTCCACATTTTTTTTAAATCCCAGCTATTTTTCCTAAAAGTTTCTAATATTAAAATGAAATGCTCCTGCACATTAGATTATAAATAGAAATGTTTGTTAAGAGCTTAAAACTTTTAATGTGAAAAATTATAATAAACCAACTTACAGCATATATTTATAAAAGTTGAAAGCGTAAATTTAAACTTTGAGCACTCCAAATGCCAGCCTAAGCTCTGCTTTACAAATTTTGCATTAAGTCTGAAAATTTGAGGTAACTGAAGATATTCCAGCTTCGTTAAGCTTTTGTTTTCCAACAATTAATCGCAGTACGTTATTAATAGCCCACACTTAATTTAATCATCTACTTTCAAACATTTAATTCCATTTAAATCGCTCACTTCACATTTTGCGCACTTTGTCGTAATTTTATTTTTTGTTTTTTTTGTTTTTGGACAACAGCTGTCCAATAACTCATTAAAAAATTATAAATTGGAGTTGATGGCTACTATCTGTAACAAGAGTTTTCCATTATAGCCTGACAGTATGTTCGGGTTCATTGACGCCGCAAAAAGTTGCTTGGAGTCCTAGAAGAAGAAGATATGCCCCGTAAACAGACAGTTGCTCAGTTATTATCGATGGGATACGACCAGAAAATAACAATAACAACAACAAGAACTTTGCCAATACCCTGCATACTTCAAGGCAATTAACAGAGTTTTCATTTCCGGCTTAACACGCAGCTATGTTGGCAATATTCTTCACCCCCAAACCAACCCGCATGGAAACCCCCCTTGCCGTAACGTGTAATATGGCTAAATTCTCACGCAAAACTTTGCCGCTTGGCAAATGAATTATTTAACATTGTTTTTCCGCGGGCCAAGTTTTTTTCGGGCCACGTTTAATGAAATATGCCCGAGGATTGACACCCACAATAACAACAGCAATGCTGAATGGCAGCTCGTCAAACGATTCATTGTTTCATTTCATTGAAATCCACGCCACACGCGATGCGATTGCCACTAAGAGCAAACAGAGCAATTAACAACTTAACTTTTATGGCCCACAATTATTTGGTATTTATTTGTTAAGCTCTCTAACTGCGCAGCTATCTTTATGAGCTTTGCTGCTTTAAATTCAAGCCGCTGACAAGCTGGCTTGCATTTTATTATATAACCCACCCACTGCCTCCATACACACCCCCTCTCAAAAAGCCTCTTCTATGCAATTTGCATGTTGAGTTCTCGCCATCGCGTGGTGGCCAGCAACATTATTAAGAGCAGTTGACTGACAGCTGGCAAATTGCGCAGGCCAATGCCCAGCAGAACGATAACAAGGGGGGTGGTGAGGGTGTGCTGAGTGTGACGTGGTTGGTTGTGGTGGCATCACACAAGGCTAATAGCTCGCTCTGATTTACTATCCACACGCAAAACTTCAATTAAATGCATTTATTTATTTTTTTCTTTCTCTATTTTTGTTATGCTTGCGCATTTGCAACCGATACGAATGGAAATAAATAAGCCAAATGGCGAGAATTAGTTCAAGGATTTAGTCTACATCATATTTCATGCGCCACAAATGACCCTGAACTTTAACAAAATACCAATTTAATTCAATTAAGCTTAATGTTTGTGAGCTTATCTGTGTTAGTAAACAAAGGAAAAAAATACTATTATTATTCTTAGTATTATGATCCAGTTTTCTGATCATTAGCACTTAATCAACTTATACACGACAAGCTGAAAAAAGAAGGAATTAATAAAGTTATAAGCAAGTAAGAATGCTGTAGTCTGGTAAGCTCGACTACGGAATACCCTGCACACAGCAATTAAATATATTATTCTTGTTATATTATGAAAAATAAATATAACTCACTAACAACTACAAATATGATAGAACAATGACCTTTGGCTAGACAATTTAAAAAACATTACCTAGCCTGGCAGCTTCTATCTCAATTGGCGCTTGCTTAAATCAATCACAGCAGTTGATTAAATAATTTACAACTAAATTCAACTAAATTATTTAAATGCTAATTTCTCAATCAGCTTCAAAGTCATTACTTTTTAGATGTGGTTTTTGCGTTCCCTGACTTATTTACCATTTCAATATGTAGGCAAGAAATTATATAGAAATTTGTATGCAAATTACATGACAGACAGACAGACAAATAACAATAACAATAATAACAACAACAATTGCGAATGACGACAACGCAGTTTGCAAATTGAGCATTTGGCGACTGTTCGCTCAAAATATATTCTCGGAGCGTTAATTATTATTTCTGTCAAAGCCATTTGTTTTACTATTCAGTCGAGCACCATATATTTATAGATATATATATAGTATGAATAGCGCTCATAAAGATTTATCTACCCAGAAGGCTGTAAAATAATGCCATAATTGCACTTCTAAGCACGTCCTCGATAATCTCCAATAGTGCTTAAAAATAGTAATGTTTTTTTTTTTAGTTAAGCCATTCAACAATCGAATATATATATTATATCAAAAAAATAATCAAGCATAAGAAATTCAACATGTATCTCAATAAACTCTCGATAAATAGTTTTTCCTTTCAATATTTTTCAGTCGCTCGACTTAAAAGTCTTTGAAGTTTAACTATTTACCAAGCAAATAATGCAAAATTTCTAATGTCTTTTTAAGTATACAAAAAAAATATCGTCCATTTATAAGAAATTGTACATTTTTCTTTATTTTCTGCAGCGCAAACAAAAATGTATTTAAGAGCTTAAGTTGACATAGAAAATGTTTGCAACATTAAGATTTATTGCTTTGTTATTGTGCCACAAACAATATGCTTAAGTATCGTTAAATCAATGCTTGCCACGCTAAGGCTAATTGACGGCTCCCCTTGCAGCACCCTACCCCTTAAAACCTGCCATTAAGCTGAATAATATTTAAAGAAAAAAAATATCAAGGCCAAAACCAGCTTTCTCAGCATTAATTTCGCCTGCCCAACTCAACGTGCCTGCTCCTAAGTAAATTTCTATCAAGTCATTAGTTTAATTAATTGTTTTTCGGAACTTTTGTGCAGGCAGCTGGGGTGGGAAAATACTCTGTTCCCATACACCCCCCAACGTCTCGCTGGTGTCCTGGTGGAGAGTTAATTTTTCTGTTAATTCATTTCAAGACGCAGCTGAACCGAGAGTTGCCCGTCACAATTTCGGGCTCCAGCTGAAAATTGCTGCTCATCAAATGCCAGCAGCCGACAGATAGAGATAAAGAGAGAGAGAGAGAGAGATAAAGAGGGATGATACCCCTCACTCCCCCCACTCACAGTCACACTACATTACTGAGTTATCTGTCGACTTCGTGGCACTTGAGCTGCGCCGAGTGGCATGAAATTGAAATTGGTTTGCACGCAACATGCAGCAAGTCGCAGTTTGCAATTAAATGCACAAAAGTATCTGTCAGATGCAGCCTGTTGTTGACATCGCCCAAACGACAAACAACAGTTGACAAAAAGTTTCACACAGCTCGCAACTCTTTGGAGTAGAATTAAGATAATTAATTTCAACGAGGTGCCATGTGCAAATGTCATAGGTGAAGATAAACTAGGCACTGAGCGATGATGCTTTATTTATCTTTAGAATTTGGTCTCAAAGCAAGAAGACTTCTCTTTTATATACCCTGCCAATTAGTAGGGTTTAAAAATTGTGTGAATGCTTGCAGCAGACATGTGCAACTCCATAAATCGTATTTGTCTTATTATAACTTATCTTAAAATATAATCTTCAATTTTTATACAGGCATCTTCGACAAATATATTTTATTCTTAATCTGATATGTGTTCTCTAATTTCTTCTCATCTTCTTCTCAAGTAGAATATTAAACGAATAAAATAATAACTTTAAGCCTCAGCTTGGATAATAAAATCAACTTTAACTGATGCTGACCGCTTTGGGTCAAACAAATATATTGTAGTAAAAATTTGCTATACAAAATATGGAGCTGAACTCAGGGAATCTCAAAGTAAATAGTCCTGTTTAAAGCAGGTTTTTATCAAGAGTCGAAAGCTAACTTTACTATGTATACATGCAGCATACGATTTAAGTTGGAAAATAGATTTTA